TAATAGTTTTAATTAATTTAGAGAATGTGTTTTTAAAAATACCCACATTTTTGTTATATATTCCATAGAGAACTTTTGCCTGGTCTTGTTAATTAATTATGTCTAAACATATTCAACTCTGCATGCACAGCCAAGTCAGAATTGCTTCAGTGGTTGCCACAGAACAGAAGTCTTTGAGAATCAAGACATTATTCTTTCATTGCACTGTAATTCTTTCATCTCTTCTTATTTGGGAATCAAACATCAAAAGCTTTTCATTATGTAGATGTCTTACCTTATGTGACTACTGAAGTCTCACTTTAAGTGAGTTGAAGTTAAAAGAGTTCTTCTCTACATCCTTTCCATGTAGCATTTAGTAGGGTTACCAGAATCAGATACTAGAACCAGCATGGTTGCTGGTGAGAATTTATTTTGCTGATCTATTGAATTAGAAATTCAGGCAATTAAGTTTCCTAGTTTGTTTTTGCAAAGTGCTTCAGGTGGTATTAGTGCTATTATTTGATAATGTGTCCCATGTTATAATCAAATTATGTTTTATCAGTAATATATGACATGGCATATTTTCTATGGCATGAAGGAGAATTGATGCCTTTGAGCTGTGGTGCTGGAGAAGAGTATTGAATGTACCATGGACTGCCAAGAAAACAAACAGATTCATCCTGGAGAGGATTAAACCAAGCAACTCCTTGGAGGCAAGGATTCTGGGGCTTCATCTGGCATACTTTGGGCATGTTGCCAGGAGGGACGGGTCCTTGGAGAGGGACGTCATGCTTGGGAGGGTGGAGGGACGGCGCAGGAGGGGAAGACCCTCTATGAGATGGATTGATTCGGTGACTGGGGTAATCGGGATGGGTGTGTCGGAGGCAGTGCGATTGGCACAGGATAGAGCAGGGTTTAGGGCTGTTGTGCATAGGGTCGCTATGAGTCGCAAAGGACTCGATGGCACATAAGAACAACAACAACAATGGAAGATGCATGACTTGTAAAAAAAGACTTATTGTAGAACAATTGTTTAACTATAGACAGAAAAAAATAGCTTTAACAGAAATATATTGAGAAATGGGGAAGATGTCCTATATAGTGGTGGCAATAAAATCTGAAACATTTCCTGCCAACATTATTTAAGAGAGAAAAAGAGCAGTGTCATCTGGATCATTTATTTTATTTCATATTTTTTCCTTCCCTCCCTGAAGGTGTTCAGGATTATTTCATTGCTCTTAATCCATTACCCAGAATTGCATTCTTAAAAGGGACTGGAGAACTAAGAATTGTTTTTGTAGTATAATACTATTTCATATGATAAGCAGTTTCCCCTCCATTTTATATGTTATTATTGTATACATTTTGTATGTTACTATCCTCCCTTTTTTTAGCAGAATTTATTTCTTGGGTAATTTCCTGTAATATAATGAGATCTTCCAACCCCTACCAGGAATAATATCTCTGAAAGACAAAATTTCATTTACTAAAGCTGATCGATCTTTTGGATAAAGTGAAAAGATTTTGAAAGTCAAGAAGAAAATGATAAAAGCAGTATGTAACACTGATATTTAAAACAAGAAATTGAAGACAACACAAGATAACATGTTGCTATTGTTGTTATGTGTCAATGAGTCATAGCAACCCTATGTACAACAGCCCTAAACCCTGCTCTATCCTGTGCCAATTTTATTGTCATTGACACACGTATCGCCATTACCCCAGTCACTGAATCACCATCTTATCAAGAGTCTTCCTCTCTGCTCTGTCCCTCCACCCTCCCAAGCATGATGTCCCTCTCCACGGACTGATCCTGCCTTGCAACATGTCCAAAGTATGTCAGGCAAAGCTTCAGAATCCTTGCCTCCAAGGAGCAGCCTGGCTTCAACCTCTCTAGGGTGAACTTGTTTGTTTTCCAACAGTCAATGGTATATTTAATCTTCTCCATCATCATAGCTCAAAGGCATCAGTTCACCTTCTATCATCCCTAGTTATTGTTCAGCTTTCTGATGCATAGCAAGTAATTGCAAAGACCATGGCCTGTATCAGGTGCACCTTACTCTACAGCCTGACATTTTTTCTTTACAGCACCTTAAAGAGGTCTCTGACAGCAGATTTTCTCAAGGCAATTTGTCTTTTAATTTTCTGACTGCTGGTACCAAGGGTGCTGATTGTAGAGCCAAGAAACTGAAGCTTTTGACAACCTCAATCTCTTCACCATCTATCATGATGCTGCCCATCAGCCCTGTGGTGAGAATCTTTTTATAAATTTTTTTTTACTTTTTAATTTTTTTCTACTAGTTATTTACAAAAGTCGAATACACATTTGAACAAGTTCTTTCAATTTCCCTCATCACCCCCCCTCATCAAATTGTACAACCTAATAGTTAATCTCTTCTTCCTCCTGCACATCCATGTCCCTCTACTTCCAGCCTCTCCCACCCCTCCTGGATCCTTATACTCATTCTATAATAACAGTTTTATACAACAGTTATCCTCGTGGGACTGAGGAAATTCACTCAGCATAATGCTCTCCAGTCCCTCCCAAGTTAGGTAATAATTTATAAACTTATTGCTCCTGCATGCATCATAGTATTATATTGTGTGAATATACCATAATTTCTCAATCCATTCATTTGAGGTTGGACATTTTGGCTGTTTCCATGATCTTGCAATGGTGAATAATGTTGCTATGAATACACACAGTCTCTTACATAAGTGGAGAGATTTATTTGTTTCCCCCCAAAAGAAATATGTGTATTGTGTGTGTATACATTTATTAAAAAATTGCATCTATTTAAATGTCTTCAAGAAAGCTTAAGTCCTGCTTCCCCCTTTCTGTGGTTCAAGTTCAAAATTTTATCCCAAAGAAAGGTGACCCAACAGAGTGTGGAAACTACAGAACAAACTCACTGATTTCACATGCAAGCAAGATTTTACTAAAGATTATCCAAAAACGACTGGATCAGCGCATCAACAGAGAACTACCAGAAGTCCAGGGTGGGTTTCGAAGGGGTCGTGGTACTAGGGATATTGTAGCTGATGTTAGATGGATTTTGGCTGAAAGCAGGGAATACCAGAGGAATGTCTATCTGTGTTTCATTGACTATGCAAAGGCATTTGACTGTGTAGATCATAACAAACTATGGCTGACTCTGAGAAGAATAGGAATCCCAGAACACTTGATTGTTCTAATGCAAAACTTATACTTGGACCAGGAGGCAGTCGTCAGAACAGAGCAAGGGAACACTGCATGGTTCAAAATTAGGAAGGGCATATGCCAGGGATGCATCCTATCTCCATACCTTTTCAACCTATATGCAGAACAGATTATCCGGGAGGCTGGGCTCTATGAGGAAAATTGTGGGGTTAAGATTGGTGGACGATTTATCAACAATCTGCGTTATGCAGATGACACAACCCTGCTTGCTGAAACTGAAGAAGACCTGAAGCGCCTGCTGCAGAGTGTCAAGAACTGCAGCCTACAATATGGATTGGGGCTCAATGTCAAGAAGACAAAGATTCTCACCACTGGACCAATTGGCAGCATCAGGATGGATGGTGAAGAGATTGAGATTGTACACAGCTTTAGCTTGCTTGGCTCCACAGTCAACAGTCTTGGCACCAGCAGCCAGGAAATTAAAAGGCGCATTGCCATGGGAAAGTATGCTGTTAGGGACCTCTCCAAAGTACTGAAGAGCAATGGTATCTCTCTGGAGACGAAGGTGCATCTGATACAGGCCATGGTCTTCTCAATCACTTGTTATGCATCAGAAAGTTGGGCAATGACCAAGGAGGATAGAAGGAGAATTGATGCCTTTGAGCTGTGGTGCTGGAGAAGAGTATTGAGAATACCATGGACTGCTAGGAAAACAAACAGATTTGTCCTGGAAAGGGTTAAACTGGATGGCTCCTTGGAGGCAAGGATTTTGAGGCTCCATTTAACATACTTTGGACATGTTGTGAGGAGAGACAGGTCCTTGGAGAAGGACATCATGCTTGGGAGGGTGGAGGGACAGCGCAGGAGGGGAAGGCCCTCTATGAGGTGGATTGATTCAGTGACTGGGATAATTGGGATGGGAGTGTCAGAGACAGTGCGATTGGCACAGGACAGAGTGGAGTTTAGGGCTGTTGTACATAGGGTCGCTATGAGTCGCAAGCGACTCGACGGCACATAACAACTACAACAACATACTACAAGAAAAGAAACAACTTACGTATTACTTCTCAGAATGTAACCCATGGCTACTGCAAACTTCTTAGAATATATTGTTGCATGATATGGCTATCATCAGAATAGCATCGAGGAAGTGAAGTGTCTAAGATAGTAGGCTTAAGAAAGCAAGTATTTTGTAATTTGGGGAAAATTTATTGTTATATATTTATTGAAAACATCTTCCTACAAAATAGCTTTTGCATTCCTTATACAGGCAAAATTTGCATTTGCTATTATTTCTTGCACTATTTAAAAAATGTCTGTGACATAAATTTTTATATACATACATATACACACATACATATTATATGCACACACTTACATGTATGTATGTTTATACATATATGGACACATACACAAACTCATACAAATTTTATTAATGTCAAGTCTTTTCAACAGTTGTTATGAGAAGAATGATTCTGAAAAGAGATCTAGGTAGATTTTATATCTCTTTTGTGAACTTCAAATGTAACTGAACTACTTTTTAGACTATCTGTTTAAGAAATGGTCCTTGAATGTATGCCTGAGTAGGTGATCAATGGATGGAAGCAAATAATCCTATTGAAACATTTACTATTTATTTTTTATACAGCTCTTCTAAAGAAACTGATTAGCTTCCTTTATGATTTCACCCTTCAAAGCACATACCCTTGTTCTTTGTCATTGTTGCATGACATTCCATTTGACACTAAGCTTATTTTTAGACCAAGTATCAAAGTATTTTTCAACTGGGCTGTCGCTACACTTATATATGGAATTTTGTAAGCTAAGGAACTGCACCGGAAAAAGAAGAAACTTCTATCAAATGGGGAATTATAAATCCAGACCTACTCAAACTTGCACTGGTAATTATTTTTATTTCCTTAAATATAATGTATTCAACTATAGTTAAAGATAATTAACATAGTTTGGTCTATGGGTTAATTTTTACACACAAGATAAGACAATTTATTCTTTTAAAGAACTGTGAAGATTAGCTAATTTCAAATTATGTTTTTCTGAATAACTATATAAAATGATTTGAGAAATGTTTCATTTGTCTTTGATATAATGTTAAATTCTTCTGAATACTGCTAAATTAAAGATCTTAAAATTATATCTTAAGTATGAAGTATTTAAAACTAAAAATTGTGGCTAGCAAGTAGAGATTGCTGTAATTTAAATGCAATAAAATAAAATGAAATAAGTAAAATATATTCTTCTATATAAATATATTATCCCATATTAAATGGGTTCTTAATTACTACAATTCAATATGATTGCATTTTAAATATAAACATCTGCATTTTATACTCACAATTACTGATTTAAATTAAGTATTGTAGAATTAAAAATAAAAAGCAAAGTTTTGATTACTTGTATGTTAAAATCTGTGTCTGAATTTTGCAAAACACAGCTATAAATAAATCCCATTTCTTCTTCTCTGCTAGATGAATGGAAGAAGAAAGTCAGTGAATCTTATGTTTCTGTAATAGAGAGATTAGAAGATGACCTACAGATCAAGGAAAAAGAACTTACAGAACTGAGGCATATATTTGGGTAAAGTCAAGTTGTTACTTCTTTGTAGGTAATCTCAGTGTCTTCATCATTCATTCTAATTTTAGATGTATCATTTTACAATGACAAAGTAAAAAAAATGTTTTTAAAACAAAGTAAAATATAAATAATATAACCTTAAATGTAATAAGCCACATATTAAATCTTAGAATGTAACTTTTTTAACTGAGCCCCCAAACACAAACATCCCATTTTAAAATATGATGTGCATTCTTTCATCACTAAAGTTTATAGAAAGAGGAAAGTAAAACATAATCTTTGAATATAAACTGTTGACCTAAATAATCTTTGAAATTATATTATTCTTATAAACCATACCAGCAACAAACAATAAAGCTCCTCATCTTAAAAGGTGGTGGCAAAGTTTGTCACATTGTTCTCTTTGAACTACTAGGGTAAGTCCAATTTTAACAAACCCTCTGGTCTCTTGACATTGGAAGGCTGGCCCTTAATGGAACTGAGTATCATTCTGCCCTTGAACAATCATATAACAGCTTGTAATATTGGCTTCAGGCCTATAGTGGAGTTTGTTCTATCATAACAAGAGAAAAATAATCTGAGATAGAGTCACAACCTTGGAAGACACAAAATGTTCAGAAAGGGGGCTGAACAAGACCTATATATACACAAGCAACCTTCTGAAGAAATTGAATCTAGCCTTGAGAAATGAGATGCATTTGGAGGGTCAGTGAAGGCAGCTGCCTGGCTGAGGAAAAGTTCTGTATAAGCCAATTACTTCTGTCCACTTTGAGTATGTGTTTCTTCTGTAATATACTCCTGGAAAAGAACTCCTTCTGTTTTTCTTGGAAAATGTATAAAGCAAGGACCAAATGATACTATATTTTCCAAAAGAAAAGCTCATATATAGTAAAAATAAAAAGCTCACATATCTGGAAACATAAACTGTTCTCGTATAGTATATGTTACAAGACATATGGCAGTAGAATTAGGAAGGCCTTCAAATGAGTTAATTTATGGGTAGGGGAATTGATTCTTTGTGTTATTTGGCCCCAGGTGATGATCTCCACTCTGACATCATCCTTAGATACCAGTGGGCTGATTTATACAAATAACACCACATACTCAGGTGTGAAAAATATTTGACATCCCTATAGAAATATTAAGGAGCCCTGGTAGCCTAGTGGCAAGATGTGATTGGTGCTCTGACATATTAAACTTCATCCATGATATTCATGTTTATTTATGTTGTTCATGGAGAGAAGTGAATGTAGAATTGAATAATAAGTCCTTTGGTTTCTGTTGATTCAGAGACAAATATGCGGAGATGAAATATGAATAAATAGAGGAGATTTTCCTTAAACTTTCAATTCTTTATCTTTTTTAAATTTTAGGAAATATTGTGGAAATACATTAAGGCAAATTTAAATTGGGCATACTCCTATAAGAATTGGGCAATGGGTTTATGATGCAAAGTTTTCCTACCCCTTGTAAATACTATCAGCTATTTCTACCATACCTGCTAAAGCTCACCTCCTATATTTTCACCCTGTAATAAATGTGTCCTCCTTATCACTGACTCCTCTTAGGAATGAGAGGTAGTTATCAGTATCAGGAAGCTTATAGTTAAGAATTTAAATGGTAGCTGTATGTAGTGATGGTTAAATATATGTCATAATGTAATAACCATCACTACCAGGTATGACTGTTAAATTATTTTGGGAATGTTGCAAGGAGAGGCTGTTCCCTGGATAAGGACCTCATACTTGGAAAGGTAGAGGTGCAGTGAAGGAGAAGAAGACCCTCATTTAGGTAGATTGACACAGAAACTGGGCTTGAGTGTGACAGCAATTGAGTTTGGCACAGGGTAGGATATGTTGTTCATAGAGTCGCTATGAGTTGTGTTTGACTCAGTGGCACCTAGCAACAACAACTAACAGGTATGGGGGGAAGTATTAATTCTGGTGCATAATATATTAAACATTAGAGACACTGTGACTTTTTGTGATCTGTAAATGTTGGAACTCTGATTTGTGACAAGGTCTGCCTGACTCCAAAGAGATTTCATTCAACTACATCTTGCTTCCTCCAAGAGTTCACAATCAGGTAGAGTAGAAAGACAAAAATAACACTCATAGAAGGTTGAATATGACAAGTACTATAATGTTGTTCCTATTGTTGTAGGTGCTGTCAAGTCAACTATGATTCATAATAACGCTATGAACCCTGTCTTATCTTGTGTTATTTTTATACTTCCTGATATATTAGAGCCCACTGCAGCAGTCTGTGTCAGTGCACCTGGTTGAGGGTCTTTCCTTCACCTACCCTCCACCATTTCAAGCAACATGTTCCTCTCCAAAGAAAAGCCCCTCCCAGCTACATGCCTGAAGTATGTGAAATGAAGCCTCATAATCCTTGTCTCCAAAGAGCACTCTGGCTGCACCCTCTCCATCCATGTTCAGTACTCTTCTCCAACACCAAAGCTCAAAGGCATCAATTCTTCTTCCATCATCCTTTTTCATTGTACATCTGTCAGATGCAAAGCAAGTGATGAGAAAGATGATGGCCTAAATTAGACCCACCTTAGTCTTCAATCTGATATCATTAATCTTCAAAACTTTGAAGAGGTCCCTAATTGCTGACCTTCCCAGGAAAATACTATAGTAAAAAAGGCCAAAAAAAGTTATTTCAAATAAAAGAAGGTTTGGGATCCTGATTTAAACAACAATTTTGAAAAAATATGCCACACAAAAGTCACAGTTAAGTAAAGAAATACAGATAAGAGTAAATGCACATCATGGGAAGCCTCACACACACACACACACACACACACACACACACACACACACAGAGAGAGAGAGAGCAAAACAAAACCACCCCATAAATTCAAATCAAAATCCACACTCAAACCTAATGCAGATAGTTTAGTTGGAACTGACACATAACGGGCCCTTCAATAGGTGTACAAGTCTGCATATTACACAGGGGGATGTTACCCATCTCTTCTCCTTGGCACCACTGGTAGAGTGAAATTGCTGGAGAGACCTTTGAGCTTACAGCACAACTCCTTATGAACTACGCCATGATAGTGCCCTACAAAAAGCCTACGGGTGACAAAAACAAAACAAAATATGTCTTGGCCATTTTATCTAAGTTGAGTAAGAGAATTATGCATGCCAACATTAAGGGATATGAAACCAGACAAATGAGCCTTAAACCCAAGTGATTTTATTTAGAAGCTTTGTGTGTTTCTTAACATTATTTCATCTCCTTGATATATATGTATATGAAATATATATGCCATAAATATATGACATATATGAAGAATATGAAATATATATATGACATACATGAAACAGATATGAAATAGATACATATGAAATATATATAATAGATATATGAAATATATATGTATTTCATATATATGTATATGAAACCTCTACTCGGACCAGGAGGCAGTCATCAAAACAGAGCAAGGAAACACTGCATGATTCAAAAGCAGGAGGAGTGTATGCCAGGGATGAGTCCTATCTTCCTACCTTTTCAATCTATATGCAGATCAGATCATCAGGGACTTTAGGTTTTATGAGGAGGAATGTGGCCTCAGGATTGGAGGAAGATTCATTACCAATCTGCCTTATGCAGATAACACAACCCTTCTTGCTGTATCAGAGGAGGATTTGAAGCCCTTGCTGGGAAGGTCAAGGACTGTAGCTTTCAATACGGATCAAAGTTCAACATCAAGAAAGCAACGATTCTCACCGTCTCACCTCTGCACTGATGATAGATAGTGAAGAGACTGAGATTGTGAACAGCTTTAGCTTGCTCAGTTCCACAATCAACACTCTTGCCAGGAAATTAAGAGAAGAATTGCATTGGGAAAGTATGCTGTCAGGGACATGTCCAGAGTACTGAAGAGCAACAATGTTAGTCTGAAGACTAAGGTGCGCTAGATCCAGGCCACAGTCTTTGCAATTACTTGCTCTGCGTTAGAGTACTGACAATGACTAGAAGGAGAATTGATGCCCTTAAGCTGTGGTGCTAGAGAAGAGTATTGAATATACCATGGACTGTCAGGAGAACAAACAGGTTTGTCCTCAAAGAGGGTGATACCAGGCTGTACCTTGGAGTCAAGGATTCTGAGGTTTTGTCTGACATATACTGGGCATGTTGCAAGGAGAGACCAGTCCTTGAAGAGGGATGTCATGCTTGGAAGTTTGTAAGGACAGCTCAAGAGAGGAGGACCCTCAATGAAATTAATTGATTCAGTGACTAGGGTAATAAGAGTAAGTGTTCAGAGACAGAAAATGTTGGCTAGGATGGAACAGGGTTTAGGGCTGTTGTACATAGGGTCACTATGAGTTGCAAGTGACTAGAGGGCACCTAACAACAACTCTCTCTCTCTCTCTCTCTCTATATATATATATATATATATATATACACACACACACACACACATTTACTAACACAAGAGTCAGATTGATTACATCTCTGGAAAGAATCGTTGGAGAAGTTCAGTATTACCAGTAAAAACTAGTCTAGGCCAGGTGCTGACTACACAATAGATCATCAACTACTCATATGTAAGTTTGAAATACAGCTAAAGAAGGTCCAATCAAATCCACAGAACCCAAAATTTGACCCTGAGGCTATCCCACCTGAATTTAAAAGCTAACTCAGGAAGAGGTTTGAGGCCTTGAGTACTCATTATGAAGAACAACCAGATGAGTCGTGGAAGGATATAAAAAGTATCATCCTCGAAGAATGCAAAAGATCATTTCAAAGACAGAAGAAGAAAAGATCAAAATGGATTTCTATAGAGACTCTGAATATTGCACTTAGAGTGCTGAGAAGCCAAAGCAAAGGGGAAAATCAAGACGTTAAGGAGCTGAATAAAAAAATGTCAAAAGACAAAACAGGAAGACAAAGCAAAATATTATAATGAAAGAACCATTGTTGTTATTCTGTGCTGTCAAGTCACTTGTGACTCATAGTGACATTATGTACAACAGCCCTAAACCCTG